CCAGACCTCTGCCCAGCCATGCCTGCTCCCCAGTGTGGCCCTGCGGGGGGCTCGTCCCCAGGCTGGACCTGGAGCCTGCCGCAGGGACCCAGGGAGCCCCCATCAGGGCTCAGATAGAAGAAAAACAACTCTAAAGGGAAAAGCTCACCTTAACCTGTTACCCTAAATGTTCTGTTTTCCTCAGGCCTAATTTAATATCATTACAACTGTGTCAAATTAGGTAAAAACATATGCTGTTCAAACTGATATTGAACCTGTCACTTATAGGTTGATTGTAGGTTTTTTCTTCTATCATGTCTTAATGCAACTGAGGAATTTAATTGGAGCTGAGACTTTAAATGCAATTTTATTTTTCCTACCATAGTCACTATGTATACATTATTTTTTGAATGTTGTACAATTTCCCTTAGTAAAATGGATAATTCAGTTTGTGCAAAGACGGAAATAAATGGCTTATTACTTTGAATGAGCATTTTATTTCTTTGATTTTGGTTTTGTGAGATAGAATCTTGCCATGATGCCCAGCAATTCTCCTGCCTCAGCCTCCTGAGCAGCTAAGACTATAGTGTGCACCACTCTGCTTGCCTTCCTTTCCTTCCATTTCCACTCTCTCTCTCCTTGCCCACCTTGCAACAGAGTTTCCCTACGCAGGCCAGGCCTTCAACTGGGGAGCTCCGCCTCAGCCTCCGCAGGGCTGGGATTATATGTGTGCATCGCTGAACCTGGCTTTTAAACGCGCATTTACATATCAAACATACGAACAATTTCTCACGTTTAAACTTTAGTTCCTTACCGGCCATTCAGGTGCCGAGCTCTTCCAGAACACCTGCCGCTGCCCCATGAGCACGGTGGAAGCTGTCTCGGCCACTGTGTGAGGCGGCTGTGCGGACAGTGCTGAGGTCTACCCACCGCCCTGCAACACCCTCTGTGTGCAGCACCCTTCCTCGGGAGGCGCTCCAAGTCCTGGGCACACGGTCTTCTTCCAGGGACTCACCTCCCAGAGGACGGGGCTGAGCTGAATGTCGTTGCTGCTTTGGGTCTTAATCACCTTGCGTGCACCCTGCCACGGCCCTGCTCCCGCTTTCTAGGCTCCTCGCCCACACCACAGCGAGGCCCACGCGGACCCGGGAGGTCACGGCGTCTGAGCTGGATCCCACGCCGGAGCAGCCTTGTGTCCTGGCCTGTGCCATCTGCCGTGCCCCGCCAGGGCCACCCGCGGGCAGTGGAGTCACCTTTGCAGGAGCCGAGACACAGGCCTGAGTACCAGATGCAGCTGGGACCAGCCGCTCCTCTCCCACCACAAAGTTCTACGAATCCAGCTTGGAAATGTTTTCTTCTCCCACTGATTCAGTTTTTTTAAAAAAATCACCTAAATTAAACAGTTTAGGAAGAGCACTTTACTGGTAATAAATTGTTACTCAGATTATAATGACTTCACCGTGGCCTTGATAGCTACTTACCATACACAGATACACAGCCCTGCCTCCCACACAGGCTCTGGTCCAAGTGTCTCTGGACCTGCCTCGGGGTCTCCTGGTAGGGGCTCAGCCAGTGTCTCAGGGGCTGGGGCTGTGTGATGTGAGTGGATCCCGTCCACCCTGAGACTGAGAGGCTGCCCCTGGCCATCTCCACAGCTGGTCTCTGACCACCAGGCTACCAAGAAGCCAGCCACTAAGGACCTAAGCCATGCTGCGTTCTGCAGTTCTCTCTTCTCGTATATTCAATTACGTACCACTCACAGTCTGCCCAGGAAGGCTCTCTAAGGGGCGCTCACAGGAGTCACGTGGTCTTGGGCCCCGTGGCACTGCCTGTTCTGGGGAGGCTTCTGGACCCCCCAGTTGAGCCAGAAGGCTCTGGTGGCATCTGGTACCTCTGCTGCACAGCTGCACCCCGGACATGGTTCCTACCTGTGTGGCCACGCCTTGCGCCCAGAAGACAGGAGGCCTGTGGCGTTGATCTTTGGGTTCCAGGCACCGTAACAGGCCAGACAGTCGGCATGTGCCCTCGAAGGAAGCTGGCTGTGGGGTGCCCTCTACCCGGAGGGTGGAATGATTGTCAGGAACTCTGCTAAGGCCCAGTCCATCTGGTCGAGGGGGCCCGTGGTGGTCACACCAAGGCCTCTGCTCCCACGGAGGCCATGTGGGCACTTGGTGCTGGTTCTTGACATCCTCCCCTGCGGCACCAGGCCTCAGCGTCACGTGACCACTTGCAGGGTGCCTTGGAGAACTCGGATCGGGGAAGCTGGGTGATGCCTGCTGTTCTGGTCTGGAAGCCAGATAGATACCCGCCAGGTGAACAAAAGCACAGCTGGCCGGGAAGACGCAAGCGGCCCTTTAAGGGCTGGAAGAAGGTCTGTCTTGTTCAGCATCCAGTAGAGGCCTGGGTCCCTCCTCCTCCTCCACCCTGCAGAAGTCAGGAGCCTTCCACTTCCCGCTCCACAGTCCCTGGGTTAAAACGCGTTCGCCAGCTTCCTGCTGTTCTGTCACTGAGCAATACAGAAGTGGTGCGGCCACTCTCCTGTGTGTAATGTTACGTCCCCCCGGCAGCTCGTGTGCCCTGGGCCCCGGCTCAGCCCTCAGCTCTCGGGGAAGACACTGCCGCCAGCCGCGAGTTCCCAGGACTCCAGCCCAGGCTGAGCCTCACGCTCCTTAGCATTTCCGGGGTGCTGGAGAGAAAACAATGCCTGGGTGATGACTTCTGTCAGTTCCCGTCGTCAGGCCGTCTTACGTTCCTCCACACTCACAATATTTTCCCACTGGGAACGCGCCTGACATTGCGATTTCTCAAAACTGCAGCTCTGCAGTGAATGCCTAATTCCTGAAACTGCAAAATCTAACAAAAGCGGATTTTTTCCACTGATTTGACTGGCTGACTATTTCGAGGCTTTGCATCTGATGACCTGCTGTTCTTCACAACAGCATCTCCATTGCGCCCACACGGCCCGGCCCAGAAGGGGCTCCAGGCAAGTAGACTGTCGCAAGCTGCCTGCAGGCCCTTCAGGGTCACTCTCGAGCTGGCCTTGCTGCCTGGACAAATCCTCCTGGAGGTCACACGGAGCAGGTCCAGGAACATCCTGTGACTGGTTTCGAACTCAGAACCCACAGCCATAACCGAGTCCCAAAGCCACAGCTAGCCGTGGATGTGTTGGCTCCCTCTGACTGGCTTACTTTGTGCTGTTTGGAAAACTAACTGCTCTCTCTGTGTCTCTGTATTGGTATTTTCACATTTGCAAGTAGAAATTTAGAGAAAAATATGACAGTTTTGTGCTTTCCGTTTCTATTACCAAAGTAAACGATACTGAGCCTTCCCTGTTTGGGGAGAGGCCAGGGCCCTCCTTCCAGTCCCGTTCCCTTCCCGCTCTCACTCTGTACCGCAGGCCAGCTCTCTGTCTGGCCCGGATGAGCTTGTTCATCCTGCGCCGGTGACAAAGAACCCTGACATCTGCACCCCTCTCACGGCCAGGCTCCGACCAGGCAGGTTTAGGCAGGGCCCGGGAGGACGTGACAGAGCCCCCATCGGCCTAGAGTTTTTGTTATGGAAATGAAGGCAGTTTGCAGACCCCTGGAGAGGTCTGTGGTGCCCTCTCCCTGGGCCCAGCCGAGAAGTGGGACCTGCGAACCCGTCCTTGGGTCGGGGACTTCTGGCCGGGGCTGGTCTCAGCGCTCGGAGCCGCGGAGGCCCTGGCCCCGGGTCAGCCAAGCCCACTTGTTGCGGTGACCGAGGCGTGCTCACTCTGAGCCGACGGTCAGGCCCGGCTCGCGTTATTCTGCCCGCCTCGGACAAGAAACGCTGCCCTCTCCTCCTGCGGTCATCGTCATCCCCGCGCCACGGGCCCTTGCGCAGAACCCGCCCGCGGGGACGCGGTGCGGATCTGACCAGGCCTCCGAGGGGCGCGCAGACAAAGGCGCCGGCCTAGCTGGCAGGAGCGCAGCGGAGAGGAGGGGAGAGCACAGGGAGGCGGGAGGGCAGCGACGGAGACCGCAGGGAGCGGGCGGACGAGGGCCCAGGCCGGGCCCAGGGGCCTCCCACCCGGCACGGCCCCCCGGGGCGAGGCTGGAGAGGAAGGGCCGGGCGGGAGAAAGGCGGAGCAGGCTGATGCAAGGAGGGCCAGCCGGGCCCTGCGGCGGCGGAGCGGGAGCGCGAGGGGGAGCGGGGACCTCGCTCGCTGGCCCGCGCCCCACCCTGCAGGACGGGGGTCGCTCCGCCCCGGGGGCCCTCCCCTCGCTCCCCATGTGGCCGGGCTCCTGCGTCGGCCGACCAGTCAGGGAACGCCCCGCGCAAGGTCTGTCTTCTCTCTGGAAGTTTCCGAGGACTCAAAGCGGGGCTTGGACGCTGGCCTGGCTGGGAGCAAGGGGCGAGGCGCAGGCTCCCAGGCCGGGGCGCGTGCTCGGCCAGCCACCAGCCCAGCCGGGCGCGGGGTGGTGGGGGAGCACGTGTCCCGAGTCGGATTTCGGGAGTCCGCTGGAATTTTCAGGAACCGAGCTCTGCAGTGCCCAGCCTTTGTTGGGGAAATGAAATGCGTGAATCTGAGTGGTATTCTTCTCCCACACGCATGATTTTAATAGACCCATCAGTCACACTCCCAGACACAGCTGCAGAGGAGGCGCCTGCACCCGCAGCTCCTTCAAAAAATTAATTCGTTTCATCCAGCTACCGTGGGTCTTAGAGGGAGGGTGTCAAAGTCTTAAAAACAACAATCACAAGGGGCCGGTGGGCTGAAAAACAAAACTAGGAAGAAAGAAAAGAGAGGAACAAAAATTAGAAAAGAGTAAAAGAGAAAGAAGGACCCTCTGGTCCCTTCCTGCTGGTGCAGCCGCCCGGAACAGTGTGGAGGGAAGTTAGGGCAACTTCCTACCTCCTCACCAAAACTGCAAGGAGGGCAGACCCGGCAGGCCAGGTCTGGTGGGGAATGAAGTCGGCACATCCGAATCATCATCATAGCATTTCCCTGGGCCCTGAAAGCCAGTGCTACCTGGGCAGCAAAGGCGCCAAGGGGGCCCATGGGGCCTGGTGGGAAATTCCCTCCACCAATTTAAACTGGAGAGACCGGAGCAGGAGAGATAGGGTCTCCATTTGGGAAGAATCCCTGCTAATCCCCCCTCCTGTTGTTTTTAAATTAAGTCATTAAAGAATTTATACTGGCCCTTCTCCCTGAAGCTCTAATCACCAGAAGAAAGAGAAAGAGAGAAAGAGAGAAAGAAAGAAAGAAAGAGAGAAAGAAAGAGAGAGAGAAAGAAAGAAAAAGAAGAAAGAAGAAAGAAAGGGAGAGAAAGAAAGAAAGAGTGAGTCTGGAGCACCCAGCGTTGAATATTCCAGCTGACTGGGAGAAGCAGAACTTTAACATGCCCGACTCTAGGTCCAGGAATGCGGGTAAGGCGTCCTGTGTTCCCCGCACGCAACTTTGTATAGTGTGCAGCGTTCAGAGTGGGGCCCGCACTCCCCTATGTGAGTGAACCAAGATCTAAGTGCCCGGTCCAGCGTGCAGAGAGGCCTGGCACCCACGCAGGTGGGCACGGCCGCCTGCCTCTCTCCCACCCAAGTCAGGATGGGATGGTGCAGAGGCCAGGAATCAGCAGAGAAACTTTCCACCTTTCTTGCCGCAAGCTGCGTGAACAGACTGAGCTAGAATTCCCAGGCCCTCCTGCGAGCCTGCGCCAGAGCCCCCACCCGGCCCAAGTGAAAAAAAAAGGAGAAAGAAAAAAGGGGGGCTTTTATTGTGTCGTTAGAAAGCGTGGACATCGTCCCCGAATTTTTTGCAGTCACTTCAACGAAGGAGTTAAGCAAAACTATGGAAACGACTCCGCAAATGACGCGCGTCAACGGTCAGATTAGCAGTGACACTTAGGCTGCTCTCCCGCGGCCGAACTAGGTTCTCAGAAACCACAGCCCAGGGCCCCTTTGAAAGGCCAGCCCCGCTCACTGCCGGACAGACCTTCAGAAAAGGGCTGGGCAGAACTGTTGAAATCAACATTTCCCATCTGCACTCAGGCGCTTTTTTTTTTTTTTTCAAAAATAGAATTTCATCTTAATGTTATGATTAATTTCAAAACGTATTTGCTACAGTGTAACTTTTAAATGCAATATTTAATGCTGTCAGATTACTTGAAGACAAAATTTTACAGAAAACTTTAAATTCCAGGAAAAAAACTGCAATGTACCAATAAACATCTAGAAAAAATATAATTAAAAAATTTAAAGCATCAAACAACCTCAAGATCTTGTCAGGAATAATAATAAACACGGCATTTTGCGTTCACATCGGTTAGCAACGCGCACCCCGTTGGCGCGGGGAGGGAGGCGGGCGGGCGGGGTGCGCGCGGAGGATCCAGCGGCACTCCTGCGCCCTTTACCCGGGAGGATGGGCCGGGAAGGGCCGGGGCTGCATGGAGGGCTCATGGGCCGCGCGTTTTGGTTCAGCGACTGTTTCCTGGAACCGCATCCAGATACACCCCGCTTGCAATCCTAACTGCAGGGAAACCGGGGACACCTGCCCTCGCCACGGCCTTTGTCCCCATCCTGGGGTCGGCCTGCATGCCCTTCCTCCGGCCTCCTCTGAAGCCGCCGACTCGAAGACGCTCTGCCTGGCGCAGCGCGGAGCTGGCGGCCAAGAAACCACCCCAGGGCACGCAGGCTGCAGTCGAAGAGCTACACAGGATACTTCTGCAATCGCGTCTCCTTCTGTGTGAACACTTCCACTCTACAAAATAATCTGTTCATTTTACTGTCTTCCTTCCAAGAGATAACTCTCGAGAAGACCCTGCCTCCTCTCCCAGGGATCCCTTACTCCTGCTGACAATCTCTTTCTCCTTCTCTTTCTCCGGATTACTAGTTGCATTTTGAAGTCATAAAACATGCATATAAAATTAGCACGTTTCAACTTTATAGGGGAAAATGGGCTTTTTTCTCTCTTAAATTTGTTGACCCCAAACTCACTGCGTTTTAACGGGAGAATCTGGTTTTTAGAAGAAAGGCTTTTCGGAAACTATGTACATAATCTGACTCCTCCTCCCTGCACCGCAACATCTAAAATAAAAATTTCACAGAACATTTACAGGAAATAATACAAAACCAAAAGAGGGAAATGTTTGATACAGAAAGTTTTACAAAACCCAGAATATAACTCTGCCGTCTGAAAGGGGTGGGGGTTCCTCTTTGTATAAATTAACAAACCAACCTAAAAGAGCCCTAGGGACTACGAAAAACGTGTAAAGGTTTGGATCCGCCTTACTACGTCTGTAACAGGTGAGGACGGCTCGCGGGCGGCCGCTCGGCCTGGGCAGTCCAGCCTCGGGAGCGGTGCGGGCAGGAAGAGCGCGCGCCAGCCGGGATACAAAAGTTGGCATCGCCTCTCACTTGGTTTTGTCTTTTGGTCCCCTCAAGCAGAGAACAGCCTCCTGCCTCCTCCGTGGATGATAAATACTGTACAAAAAGTCTCGAGAAAACACCGAAGTTCAGTCTAAAACACAGGACTCGTGTCAGCGCCGCGTGGTCCCCAGGGCCTCCGGAACGCGGGCGAGGGACGGTGCCGCCGGGCGGGCGCTCGCTCTCCATTGTCTGCGCGTTCCCGGGGCGCGGAAACAAACGTCTGTACAAAAGCAAGGCCGCGCCCGGCCCGGAGGCCGCCCGGAGGGCCGCGCGCTCGGCGTCGCCCCAGTGT